CTGTGGGAGCGTACTGGCCGATGGGAGGTAATCTGTGGCAGAAGGCGGTCTCGAAGGTATCCTGGTCCGCTGCCATGGATGATGACCTCCAAGGTCCCTTCCAACTTTATTATTATTATTAAGTATCTTCGGCTTATGAGCACAAGTGAGGCCAGAATCTCCTCTGCGAATCAAGGTGGGGGTTAGCAAATTGTGCCTGATTTTATGATTTTATGCCATAGTTGTTAAGTAAATCACTGCAATTGTTAAGCGAATAATCCCGTCATTAAATGAATCAAGGCTTCTCCTGTTGACTTTCCTTTTCGGAAAGCCGGCTGGGAAGATTGCAAATTGCAATACAGGTGAAAATTTAGGATGCTGCCACCGTTGTAAATACTGGCCGGTTTCCCCACATCCAAATTTTGATCCTGTGAGACTGGGGATGCTGTCAACGATTGTGTGAAGACCAGTCATCGTTTGCTTTTTTTTTTTTTTCCTGTGCAGCTGTAACTTTGAACAATCACTAACCGGAGGATTGTAAGTCGAGGACTATCTGAATTGACTGAATAATCAGTACAAAGCTGATTTGTTTTCCATGTATTCTGAGCAAAAATAATATCTGTGGATATCTGCCTCTGCTAGCCTTACAGGAACAGTGACACAAATACATTGTACAGTTTATATCCTCTAAAAACCTACGTGCGTTCAGCACAAAGCCCCGCATTGCCCCCCCCTTTTTTCTTTTTTTTTAAAGAAATGAAAAGATAAGATACTCCTTTACCTTGCAACTGAGTTGACATGACATCAGAGAGAAAACAGATGGGGAAGAATAGAAAAGAAAGCATTTATTTGCAAGCTTGAAACGGAGGTGTGGGGGAGGGCTGTTAGGGAGTACAAAATGAGCAAGCAGAACTGCCAGAAAAATCTGTTGTGGAAGGCAGCTGGCGGGGAAGACAGAAAGACACAACCCGTGTGCAACATCTTGGCGCCTACGGTACAGAGTGTGCTACACGCGTCTGTGCCAGAAAATCAGAAGGCAGACTTCGTGTCTAACTCCTCTGGGAAATGGACCCAGGGCACCTTCCTACTGTTTCTTCCACTTTGCATGATTTAGGGCTTTAAGACTCTCAGCTTCTCCCTACAAGAGGGACCTCCAAAGCACTCTGTGTTTCCAATTTTTGATTCTTTGAGACTTCGGCTTCCCATTTCTTATGTGGGGGGGGATATCCTATCATGTCTACTAATCAGGGTGAACCTGGCTGAAATAGAGAAAAGTGTCTCTTTAATGCAGGAACCAATAAATTTGGTGCATTGGAAGGGGAAATTGGAAGTTTAAAGTAAATGCCTTAAGCACAAGGCTGAAACGTCCGTTTTACATCTAGGCCTGTCTTTCAATGGGACAGTAACAGCTGTCTGTCCCCAGCGGTATCTATACAGCCCATTGCATCTGGCGAGAGAAGCATGCTCTGGGTCCCATCCATGAAAGACACCACTCCCTGGAACATCATCCTCCCCAGAGATCAGACTTCCCCCAATTCATATATATATATATACTAGCAGTACCCGGCTACGCGTTGCTGTGGCTCAGTCTGGTTAAATGGAAAAGAAAAAAAAGAGAAAGCGCATGTTTCATGTTTTTACCTGTCACAGGTGTGACATCTATATAATAGTAGGTATATAAAAAACACGCGCGTGTTCGAATGCAACATTGTGTCAAAATTTCAAAGCCATCGGTGAAGAACTTTCGGAGATTTAAGATTTTGAACAAACGAACCTTTACATTTTTATTTATATAGAAGATGTCTCTTTAACCCAGTGTTTCTCAACCTTGTCAATTTTAAGGCATGTGGACTTCAACTCCCAGAATTCCACAGCCAGCAATGCTGGCTGTGGAATTCTGGGAGTTGAAGTCCACATGCCTTAAAATTGTCAAGGTTGAGAAACACTGCTTTAACCCGTGAAAACTGACAGGGCTAATCCCACCTGAAGGCAGAAGGCAGCCCTTGAGATATTTTTATTAGCCGATGCTTTTGTCTTCCAGTGGCAGTATGGAACCCGCCTTTCACAGAGGAGACCTCCTGTTCTTGACCAACCGCGTTGAAGAGCCAATCAGAGTGGGAGAAATCGTGGTCTTTAGGATAGAAGGAAGGGAAATTCCAATTGTGCACCGGGTCCTGAAAATCCACGAAAAGTACGTCTCAGGTTTCGGATGGGTGATAGTCGCAGAAGTCTGCGGCTACGTCAGTTTTCACTGTGTCTGTCGAGCTACGAAACCTCCTGTCTTTAGGACCGCTGTAATGCTTCTAGCTTGTCTACAGTGTGTGTGTGTGGGGGGGGGTGGGAATGGGGAAAGAGGGGAGAGTTTTGGATCCACAGGTGTTCCTGATCAACGGGAGAAGTTGAAGCTGTTGAGTTGTTTTGGTGAATTAAAGTTTATTCTCATAATAAGGAGAGAAGCAACCTAGAACTAAGGAGAAACTTCCTGACAGTTAGAACAATTAACCGGTGGAAAAACCTGCCTCCAGAAGCGGTGAATGCTCCAACACTGGAAGTTTTTAAGAAGAGACTGGACAGCCATTTCTCTGAAATGGTATAGGGTTTCCTGCCTGAGCAGGGGGTTGGACTAGATGACCTCCAAGGTCCCTTCCAACTTTATTATTATTACTACTACTACTACTATTATTATTATTATTACTCAAAGATATATTGGACACTGTGACATGAACTGTCAGGGAGGGGAGGGAAAATTTCATTCTTTTAATTAGGCTTAACTTTGTGGAAGGAAAAAAAGGGGTAATCCCAGGTATCCACCCTCTCACGAACCACCTACAGCAGGGGTCCCCAACCCCTGGTCCGTGGACCGGTACCGGGCCGCAGCATGCCAGCAACCGGTCCGCACAAACAAGCAAAGCCCCATCCGTGGGATGCAGGCAGCACACGAAACCACGCGTTCTCCGGTCTGTGGGAAAACCTCTCTCCACGGAACCAGTCCCTGGTATCCAAAAGGTTGGGGACCTCTGTCCTACAGCACTTAGAAGAAGAAACCAGTTTAAAAGCTTGAGGCTGCCTACTGGTGTAAGGTGACATATTCACTTGGCATCTTCATTCCTCCTCACGATGTGATTGCGTTCTGCTTTGCCCACTCGTTAATTGTGGTCTTTTTTTCCCCTGTGCCAGACAAAACGGCGACATCAAGTTTTTGACCAAAGGTGACAACAATGCAGTTGATGATCGAGGCTTGTATAGACAAGGGCAACACTGGCTGGAGAAGAAAGATGTGGTTGGAAGAGCGAGAGGGTGAGTGAGGCGCAAGCCAGCTGGTGGGCATTGCAACATGGACATGACTTCCTAAGTGTAACCGCCGTCTGCACAATTCGGTCATGTCCCCTGCCGTTAGTTATTATCTTCCTGTTTTCCCAAAAGTGCTTTTTCAAAAGGCAACTGGACTTTCCTGGGGTTTTTTTTTTCCCCTTGAAAACATTTCACTTCTCATCTCAGAAGCTTCTTCGGTTCTGACTGATTGGTGGGGGAATGGAAGGATTTATATTCTTTGGAGTCATAGGATCATTAGCACGCTGAAGATTGGTTTTCAAGGGGGGTAAAACCCCCCCAAGAAAGTTCAGTTGCGTTTTGAAAAGCACCGTTTGGATAACCATGACCTGGATCAGGGGTAGGCAATCTTGGCTCTTTTATGACTCGTGGACTTCAACTCCCAGAATTCCTGAGCCAGCCATGCTGAGGGGAAAGGGAGAGGTTTCCAAGCTGAGCAATGCTGGTCAGGAATTCTGGGAGTAGAAGTCCACGAGTCATAAAGCGGCCTAGGCCAGAGGTAGGCAACCTTGGCTCTTTTATGACTCGTGGACTTCAACTCCCAGAATTCCTGAGCCAGCATGGGGAACTGAGGCCTCTTTATGACATGGACTTCAACTCCCAGAATTCCCGAGCCAGCATGGGAGAACTATGGCCCCTTCATGACTCGTGGACTTCAACTCCCAGAATTCCTGAGCCAGC